TCTATGAATGTCCAGTGTTAAATGGATGAAGTAATGATCTATGAATGCCCAGTGTTAAGTGAGTAAAGTAATGCTCTATGAATGTCCAGTGTTAAATGGATGAAGTAATGATCTATGAATGCCCAGTGTTAAGTGAGTAAAGTAATGATCTATGATTGTCCAGTGTTAAATGGATGAAGTAATGATCTATGAATGTCCAGTATCCATTACTTCATCCATTTCTCTATGAATGCCCAGTATTAAGTGGGTGAAGTAATGATCTATGAATGCCCAGTATTAAGTGGGTGAAGTAATGATCTATGAATGCCCAGTATTAAGTGGGTGAAGTAATGATCTTGATGATAACCTTAGTTTTGATAATTCTTATTTTTGTCTTTTCACTAATACTGTGAAGTGGATGTGGCCGAACTCATTTAAAACTCCTTTGAAACATTGCCTGTGAGAAGCTGACACTTCTATTTGTAATTCATTGCTTCCATCAACCCTTGATGTAGGAACCCTCTGTGGCTATGATAACAGGTGACTGTCTACCATGATCTTTAATTAGGTGCTGACAGCTCTCTACATTTTCTATCAAGGATGATTTCCACAGATACTGGTGATACCAGACGTTTATTCCAGCTGTATACCCATGGCTGTGTGGCTATGATAACAGGTGACTGTCTACCATGATCTTTAATTAGGTGCTGACAGCTCTCTACATTTTCTATCATGGATGATTTCCACAGATACTGGTGATACCAGACGTTTATTCCAGCTGTATGCCCATGGCTGTTTCCTGAGGCAATCTCCTAGTTGGTGTTATGTGATGCTGATGTGGCCTGTGAAGTAAAATGGGCCTTAATAGGGTGGCTGAAATGCATCCCATGAGCAGGCTTAAACAGCTGTTTTGTATATTTTCAATGTTCTCTAGCTGTGTGGCCCTCATACTGATCATCAGTAGAGGATATTCCTCAATTGACAGGATAAGACTTTAATAGAGCATAAGCAAGAGTGGTGATCCTTTGGGCAGACCAGTAATGATGGTGATCCAGTCTGATTGCCAGCTTTCATGCTTCAGGATACATCTTGTGGTAGTTGTTGCAGCTATGGCCTGTCTTACACATGCTACATTGATGCCTATCCTGAGCATTTTGTCAGCAAGAATGGACTACTAGACTCTTTTGTAAGCGTAGTCCAAATTTAAAGCTTAGGTTTCGTGACTAAGAAAGGTCACCATGTGCCTGCTATAAACTTGTATAAGTAAGAGGGTTGACCTTTCTATATGGTTTATTGTTTCATGTCTCGTGCTTTGGAAGCTCACGACTTGTAGAGAACATGGGTTCTAATATTGCAGTTCTTGTATCATTTGTCTGTGCTGGGTCATATATAGTTTGCTCTTGGCAAGCTTCAATCTAGAGAAAGAGTGCTAGCAGGAACGAAATGCGACCAGCAGAGTTAGAATCAAGCTTTAAAGAGAGCTCAAGTTTGAAGTTAGAATCAAGCATTAAAGATAGCTGAAGTTTGGAGTTAGAATCAAGCATTAAAGAGAGCTCAAGTTTGAAGTTAGAATCAAGCATCAAAGAAAGCTCAAGTTTGGAGTTAGAATCAAGCATCAAAGAAAGCTCAAGTTTGGAGTTAGAATCAAACATTAAAGAAAGCTCAAGTTTGAAGTTAGAATCAAACATTAAAGAAAGCTCCAGCTTGAAGTTAGAATCAAACATTAAAGAGAGGTCAAGTTTGGAGTTGAATCAAACATCAAAGAGAGCTCACGTTTGGAGTTAGAATCAAGCATTATAGAGAGCTCAAGTTTGGTTTTAAAATCAAACATTAAAGAGAGCTCAGGTTTGGGATTAGAATCAAACATCAAAAAGAGCTCAAGTTTGCTCTGTATGTTTCCTTTTTACCATATGACGAACTTCTTTCAGTTTTAAAGTCTAGACGACTTCTGCAACTGATGGACCAAACAAGTTGAATTCAAAAATCAGAAGTCTGCAGTTGACGTCTCCAACAAAGAAGGCAGCCAAGGTTTGCAACATAGAGATTTGCTCTGTATTTGGATACTCTAACCAATCAGTGAACAGGCAGCCAAGGCTAGTAACTTAGAGATTTGCTCTGTATTTGGATACTCTAACCAACCAGTGGACAGTCAGCCAAAGCTTTTAACTTAGATACTTTCTCTGTATTTATGTCGTCTAACCAGTCAGTGAACAGGCAGCCAAGGCTGGCAACTTAGAGACATCTAGTGGATATCTAGAGCGATAACACCTTTCCAAAAAATGAAATTCTTAAAATGTTAAGCATCAAATTCAATACTTCATAAAACAATGTGACTCAATAAGGATCTTTCCAGTTAATAGGAGTTGAGTTTCTAATGTGAAACTAACGTACAGGATCTAGTGCGAAAATCTGAGTAAGTAGCATTAACAATGTCGACTGGTCTTTTCAGTTGTCGCAAAATAATTGTCCACACTTTTTGTCATTCCTCACGCTTTCAAATCATGAAAGTAACGCTTGCACTGTTACAACAAACTGAGGGTCAGAGCAGGACTTCTGTGACCCAACACCACTGGTTTTACTTTGTTTTCAAGTTATCATTTTCGTCAGTTTATTCTTTGGTTTACTGAGTGTTGGAAGTTAGGATTGATAGTAAATAAATTAAGGCGAATATGGACTTGGCTTAGTTTACAAAACTTTATATGGACGTGGCTTAGTTTACAAAACTTTATATGGACTTGGCTTAGTTTACAAAACTTTATATGGACGTGGCTTAGTTTATAAAACTTTATATGGACTTGGCTTAGTTTACAAAACTTTATATGGACGTGGCTTAGTTTATAAAACTTTATATGGACTTGGCTTAGTTTACAAAACTTTATATGGACGTGGCTTAGTTTATAAAACTTTATATGGACTTGGCTTAGTTTACAAAACTTT